GAGAGAAGGCACATGTTCTGGTTCCCACCAGTCAACATTCCTTGGATGACCTCCAGCTTGCCTTCTGGAGTTGTGGGTGCTCCATCGCTGGAGGTTTTCAAGAAAAGATTGGACATCCACTCATACAGGATGGTCCTACCTTGGGCAGGGTGTTGAAGGGACCTTCAAGGTCCCTTCCAGCCCTATGATTCTAGGTCTATTTTATTCCATCTGCTGGCAATGGGAGGAAAACTTGATATTCCACTTTTGGACTTAAGGTTTTTTCCCCCTTGTTTCCCCAATTCAAAGGGAATGTCACAGAGCCTTAAAACTCTGACTCTGATGCAAAATGATGCTTCAGTTCCTCCATTTTAACACGCCCATAGATTGTTGTCACTTCCTCAGTTTTCTTTCTTTTTCCTCTCGCAAGTGTGGAAATTTAGAGAATCGTCAGGCAGAATAAGGAGTCTGTTGTCTGAATTAAGCTGCTTTGGGGGGACTGTATGTGCAGGACAAGATTTTTTCCATAGATTCTTGTGATATTTCAGCATCAACCGGAGAGGTTCCTTTGAGCAACCGGACGGGACAAGACAGAAGACCTAGGAAGCCGGAAGATCTGTTGCCTACAAAAATCCTAGCATGAGGCTGATTTTCAATCTGTTCCTGGGTTGGTATTGCCAGTAAATAGAAGATGGGAGCAGTAGGGATGGCAACATGGTGCCAAGATCAAAGATCCAGTATCAATTTCTGCTGCTCAGATATTTTGACACTAATGGAATCATCTTTTTTTCAGGATGGTGGCTGACCCAGCATAGGTGGATGGCTGAAGGTGAGTCTCATTAGACACACAACTATTGGATGTATGCAAAATGAGAATTACATGTTGTGGTCTTCCCAAAGCTAATCCATTTCTCTTATCCCAGCAGGACAGCTAGATATTTTATAATTTATAGTAAGCCCAGTGTTTCTCACCTCTCGTTGCATTTTATACAACTCCACCCCCAAAATAAAGATTTTCTCTCTTGGTCTTTGATCGTAAAACAGCTAAAAAAAAAAAAGTCAATAACAGTTTTCTGCAGAGGTCCAATATAGGACTCTCATTTTTTTGGCTTTTGCAGATAGGAAGGGAGAAGGATCTGCTCAGGACGAGCAGTAATCCAAAGTTTCTCTTTCTCTCCCTCTTTTTCTCTCTTTCCCTTCCTTTCTCTCTCTCCCTCCCTCCCTCTTTCTCATTCTCTCTCTCCCTCTCTCCCTCCTTCCCTCTTTCTCTCTCTCCCTCTCTCCCTCCCTCTTTCTCATTCTCTCTCTCCCCCTCCCTCTCTCCCTCCTTCCCTCTTTCTCTCCCTCCCTCCGTCCCTCTTCCTCCCTCCCTCCCCCCCCCCCCCCCCCTCTCTCTCTCTCTCTCTCTCTCTCTGGCAACTCATGTGCTGTGAGTCACTGAGTAAGGGAAATGTTGCTGCTTTTTCAAGTTTTGCACAATTTTATATATAGCCCTCACACACCACATGAAATATTATTTGTTGGCTAAAAGTATAACCTACGGATTTCTTCTGGATTCCACAAACAACTGCTTTCAGGTTCTCCATGTTACAACCTCTCTCGTCCTCTCCTCTTATCCAGGACAAACTTATCGCCGACCTTCCATCTCGGTGAATCCCAGTAACGTAGTTGCTGTGGGGCAGAATATAATCATCACTTGCAAGAAGGAAGAGAACGTAAAAAGGACATTCATTTTCTATCTATACAAAGGAAATGTGGAAATGGATCATGGAGATACAGACCACGATGAGTTTGAATTTCGTATTATCAATGCCCAAGAATCACACCAGGGGCAATACAGTTGTGTATATAAATCACTTTCCTACAATTGGTCACCCTCCAGCCGGACAGTTGATATCTATGTGCGAGGTAAGAGTGCTTCTGTGCTGCTTTTGTCAATGAGATTAAACTAGTTACAGATAGTCCTTGACTTACAACAGTTGGCTCAGTGACTGCCTGAAGTTGAAACAGCACTGAAAAAGTGACATGACCATTTTTCACGCTTATGACCGCTGCAGTATCCACATGGTCATGTGCTCAAAATTGAGAGGCTTGGCAACTGACTCATATTTATGACGGTTGCAGCGTCCCAGGGTCACGTGATCCCTTTTTGCAACCTTTGGACAAGCAAAGTCAACGGGAAAGCCAGATTCACTTAACAACTATGTTACTAACTGAACAACTGCAGTGATTCGCTTAACAACCTGGAAAGAAAGATCTTAAAATGGGGCAAAACTCACTTAACAAATATCTCACTTAGCAACAGAAATGTTGGGCTCAGTTGTGAGGGGACATGAAGGACTTCCTTTATTTTTCCTAGATGTATAAAGGGAAATCAAAGTCTGCATTCTCCAAAATGCAAGGAGGAATGGAAAACGCCATTTTCTCCCCAAGGCTGATTCCTGCCAAGGTCTCAAGAGACCATTCCAAACTGGAGCAGGCTGAGGGTCTGCTGTTTATCAGCTAATATTCTCCCCTGAGCTGTAATCCATTTATAATAATAATAATAAAGTTGGAAGGGATCTTGGAGGTCATCTAGTCCAACCCCCTGCTCAGGCAAGAAACCCTATACTACGGGTAGGCAACCTTGGCTCTTTTATGACTCGTAGACTTCAACTCCCAGAATTCCTGAGCCAGCATGGCTGGCTCAGGAATTCTGAGAGTTAAAGTCCATGAGTCATAAAAGAGCCAAGGTTGCCTCCCCCTGCCCTATACCATTTCAGACAAATGGCTGTCTAGTCTCTTCTTTAAAACTTCCAGTGTTGAAGCATTTACAGCTTCTGGAGGCAGGTTGTTCCACTGATTAATTGTTCTAACTGTCAGGAAGTTTCTCCTTAGTTCTAGGTCAGTGGTGGCAAACCTATGGCACGGGTGCCAGAAGCGGCACTCAGAGCCCTCTCTATGGGCACGTGCGCCGTTGCCCCAGTCCTAGGCCTTCAGCTGGATTTTATAAAACCTTTTCGCTTCAGGCGCCTTGGAAAATAGCTTGACTCCCTCTTCTTTGTGGCAGCCCCTGAGATATTGGAACATTGCTATCATGTGCCCCCCCCCCATCCTTCTCTTCATTAAACTAGACATACCCAATTCCAGCAACTGTTCCTTATATGTTTTAGCCTCCAGTCCCCTGATCATATTTGTTGCTCTTCTCTGTACTCTTATTCCTCATTTTTCCAACCACCTCAATACCTCCATGTGTGGGTGGGGAGGGAGACTCAGACATAATGCCTTCTAAATTTCAGACTCAAGACAGGACAATATATGAAAGACATGTTTTTCATACAATTAAAGGAAAATAGAATTATTAATAGAAAAAAAATACTTATAGCTCAAGGTTAAACTATGAGGTCCTTGCTGCTCTCTGAGCTTGGTGGGTTTCTTGCAGACACTTCATTACCAAACTAAGTAACATCATCAGTACAAGCCCCACTACCTTTTAGCACCCAATTTAGCCATGAGTATCAACTGATAAATTAAGAAGCTTTCTCAAGGTGGCTGCTGCTATATTGGCCCCTCCCCTGCCTCAGTCCCCACAAAGTGAGAAAACACAAATTTGCATGGATTTGTTCATCCCTGAAAGTTTAAGGGAACTATGGTGCTGGAGAAGACTCCTGCAAGTCCCTTGGACTGCAAGGTGTTCAAACCAGTCAGTCCTAGAAGAGATCAACCCCGACTGCTCTTTAGAAGGCCAGATCCTGAAGTTGAAACTCAAATACTTTGGCCACCTAATGAGAAGGAAGGACTCACTGGAGAAGAGCCTAATGCTGGGAAAGATTGAGGGCAATAGAAGAAGGGGACGACAGAGAATGAGGTGGCTGGATGGAGTTACTGAAGCAATAGGTGTGAGCTTAAATGGACTCCAGAAGATGGTAGAGGACAGGAAGACCTGGAGGAACATTGTCCATGGGGTCGTGATGGGTCGGACACGACTTCACAATTAACAACAACAACAATTATACTTTAGATCTCTCCGCCTGTCTTTAAGCCAGCAGGAAATTATGCTGGCATGAATTTGCTATCCTATTTCTGGTGTCTAATTTACCTTATTGCTCTTTGCTCCCTGTCATTTGACATCCTCCAAAGGTAGCAGGTGATTACATTTTGTAAGCTGCCCAGAGACACCTATGTGTAAGTTGGGTGGCTATATAATTTTGTTTAATAAATAAAATAAAAACAAGCAAAGCCAAACTGACTTTATGTCTTTACAGGCTGTCCATGGCTGGGATCAGAAAAATGAGGGGGAAACCATTAATTTACTATTGCAACAGGTGACTTGTAGCTTTCACCAACTGAAGTCAGTATCCTGGAGACAAATAGGCAATGGCCATTGTTGAGGAAGGATTTTGCCAGGGTTAGATGCGAGGGGGGCGGCATTATCTAAGATGAGATAAGCTTCAAGACACCAAGAACTATGCTAGGAAGTAGTAGTGGTCCTGTTTTTGTCTCTTCTTCTGCCCAGAAAGGAGGGAATCACTGGGCAAGTGATCACTGATCAAGCTTCATTTCTTGATCTCCATCCATTCCATCACTGAGAGCAAAAAGCAAGTTTTAAAAAATTTAAAAACTTGAGAAGGTGCTAATTTAACCCTTGCCTGATCAAAGTCTTTTGAATGAATTGCAGTCTCCAGGGTAGGATCATTAAGGCAACTTGGCGGCTGTGACAATATTTCTACATTCATCTCATGCTCAACACAGGTAAAAAGGGGTCCTGGGTGCTCTCTGAGCTTGCTGATTTTCTTGAAGATATTTCATTACCCTAACTAGGTAACATCACCAGGGCTACTAAGGAGCACTGTTTGCTGTCAGTTTATATTCTGGTGTCTTGCCTGTCTGTAAGGGTGGGGGAGGTCTTAGGGGATTCCTTGGTTGGGCTGTTTACTAATGGCTCTTTGGAGTCTTTTTCTCTTTGGGGCTGGTTGATTGATTCTTACATAGTCTATAGATGTTAAATCTGTCTATATGTTGTGAAATTAAAGAATTTTCATCATGCCTTTTGACTGCCAGCTGGTGTTCATGGATGCGTTCTGCCAGTCTTCTGCCTGTTTGTCCTCCATAGTGGTTGTTGCAGTTCTTCCATTGTATGTTGTGGATGATTCCTGTTTTTTCCTTCTGGAGTTGCTGGGTCTTTTGGTTTGCTTAGAAGTTTTGAAGGGTTTTAGTTGGCTTGTGTGCTGTGCTGATACCATGTGGTTGTAGTAGTCCGTTTGCAGTTTCTGAGATATTCTTGATGTATGATGAAAATTCTTTAATTTCACAACATATAGACAGATTTTACCATAGTTTCAATTGGGAATATGTGACAATCCTAGACCAGGCCAAGTCCAAAACTGTCAGGGAATTTCTAGAAGACTGGCACTCTGACAAATCAGCCATCAATGGACACATAGACATTGACAACATCTATAGACTATGCAAAAGATACAATCAACCAGTCCAAAAGAGAAAAAAGACTCCGGCACCTCTCCACCAGTAATCAGCACTCAGATCAGCATAGATTAACTCCAAGGTCACCTTCAGACTAACAATTAAGTAAGCAGTACCCCAATCAAGTAAGCAACACCCCAATCAATACCCCAAAGAGCCATTAGTAAACAGCCAAACCAAGGAATCCCTAAGACCTCACCCAGACAGGCAAGACACCAGAATATAAACTGACAGCAAACAGCTCTCCTTACTAACACTGATGATGCTACCTAGTTAGGGTAATGAAATGTCTACAGGAAAACAAGCAAACTCAGAGACCACCAAGGACCCTTCATTTCAACCCTGAGCTACAACATTTCATCGGTACAGGTAAAAAGGGGAGAAATTTAGATCAGCTGATGGTCACAGTTGTTACCTTGATTCTTTGCCTCCATCCCCAGGTGGGCTTTGAATGAACCATAGTTGTTTGTTTCCTCTTGAAATGCAAATATCTGCCACTTTAAAGACTCAGGCTGTTGCAAATATTGCAATATTAAAATCTCATTTTTTCCCCTCTTATTCAGCACAACTCTATCCCAGCCCCTCTATTTCAGTGATCCCCAGTGGCCTGGTTGACCTAGGAAAACAAGTCATCATCCAATGCAAACGGGAAAGTTACCAAAATATACTATTTAACTTCTTCAAAAAAGGGGCTTTGGAACAACTAGTAATCCCACTTGTATGGAACTACTGGACTGGATCCATTATTTTCAATGCCCAAGAATCAAACGGAGGGATCTATTTTTGTGACTATGGATTCTACCCTCACAACATATATTCAAAGTTCAGTAATAAAATATATATCAATATAACAGGTAAGAAGTGGGTTCCTATTCTTCATAATTGCTTCACAAAAGAGAGCTTAGTGTTTTGCATTTTCTGTACTTAGAATACAAATAATATTAGCACTTGAATTTTCTTTTTCCTCCATCTCTTCATGCATCTGCAATTCAGTTAATGTTTTATTATTCACTTGAACATCTAAGAATATACAAATGTAATAATCATAGTGTGATCTTCCCCTGTGTTGTATGGCAACAGCTCATGCTGTAGAATGAAGGCCCTCGAGTAAGTTTGTGACTCCAGATGACTGCTTGGACTAGTTCAGTGGTGGCGAACCTATGGCACGGGTGCCAGAGGCGGCACTCGGAGCCCTCTCTGTGGGCACACGTGCTGTTGCCCCAGCCTTGCCTCCCCCTGCGACCCCCTCCTCTCCAGCAGCCCCCTTGAAGGAGAGTCGCCCTTGAGTACGGCCCACATGGAGCAGCGCAGCCAAGGACATGGCAGCCAGGCAGTGTAGACAAGACTCTGCCCTCACACCCCATCGTGCAGTTGATACTGCAGGATGCGGGCAGAGGGTGTGGCCGCCATAGCGCTGCTGGGCTGCCTGGGCGATCGGCGGGCCCTGGAGGCGGTGAGTGGTCTTGTGGGTGGGCGGGACGGGGAATGGGTGGGTGGAGCGGGGGCAGAGCAGGGAGGTGGAGTGGGGGCGGGGGCAGATTTTGGGCACTTGGTCTCTAAAAGGTTCGCCATCACTGGACTAGTTCCTGCAATTTTTCTGACAAGATTTTCAGAAGTGATTTACCATTGCCTTCTTCCTGGGGCTGAGAGTGAGTGATTGGCCCAAGATCCCCTGTTAGTTTTATGCCTAAGGAGGGGCTAGAACTCACAGGCTCCTTGTGATTGGCCCAAGATCCCCTGTTGGTTTCATGCCTACGGAGGGACTAGAACTCACAGTCTCCCAGTGATTGGCCCAAGATACCCTGTTGGTTTAATGGCTAAGGAGGGACTAGAACTCCCAGGCTCCTTGTGATTGGCCTAAGATACCCTTTTGGTTTCATGGCCGAGGGACTAGAACTCACAGTCTCCTGGTGATTGGCCCAAGATACCCTGTTGGTTTCATGGCTAAGGAGGGACTGGAACTCTCAGTCTCCCGGTGATTGGCCCAAGATATCCTGCTGATTTTAGGCCAAAGGAGGGACTAGAACTCACAGTCTCCCAGTGATTGGTCCAAGATACCCTGCATGCATGCATGCATGCATGCATGCATTAATTAATTAATTAATTAATTAATTAATTAATTAATTAATTAATGCTGAAAAGATATGGATTGCACAATTGAGAGACCATTATGAAAGAAATAGATGGTTTGGTCATATAGAGAGAATGAACATATGGCAAAACAAAGCTTAGAAAGAGTGACTGGGTTGAGTGAAAGTCTGAGAAATTATGTCTAGCTGGAGTTGATGAGTTTGTTATGGAATGCTCAGGTTAAAGATAAAATTTCAGAGGAAATCCAAAATTATTTTCAGGCTAACAATGAACTTGAAGCCTTGTCCAGATTCAGGAAAGCTGTTTGTTGAGTGATCCTTATTTCTCTGTTTTTATTTTCCTATCCAGCAAATTCCTCCCCAGCTATACGAGTCTTCCTAGAGATTTTGCATAAATCTAAAAGAGGGGGAAATTGTAGGTCCTTGCCATTTTTAAGGCTTGTCGTTTGGTGCTTCTAATGCGTTTGCTCTTTATCTGATATTTTCTTGCCTTCAGATCCCACGGCCCACAAGCCTTCCATCTACCTGGAACCAAAGAGACAGCAAATGCTTGGTACAAATGTCCAGATCTACTGCCAGGGGCCAGAAGATGATCTGAACTATTTCTTCTATAAGTCAACAGTCTTCGTAACATCCCAAAGGGCAAAACCAAACAGTTCCTTGGCTGAGTTTTCCATCTCGGGAGTCAGATTGGAAGACATTGGGAACTACAGTTGTTGTTATCAGCTTAAAAAAAATCCCTTTATGTATTCAAAGTTAAGTGATCCTCTGCAGCTGCAAGTAAGAGGTAAGGAATTTGCTCTCCCCCAATCCCTGCTATCTTCCAAACCCCAAGTCCCTGAATAAGAACCATAAGTAACATTGGGGACCATTTATCCTGAACCATTTGAGGCAACCAGAGGATGAGATGCTGTAATGAGCAAAGTTTAAAAAAAAGAAAGAAAAATCAGAATGAGAAGGAATTGCCACCAATGTCATTTGCACTACACAAATAGGTGTGAAAAGCAACCTGTGTAGAGTCAAAAGAAAAGGGCCTGGGGCTCCTCTGATGCAACACCAGTGTAATATGTGCATGTGTCCATCACTTCTACTGTGGGAAGTATGAAGACTAGTCTGCTAAGTGTCTATGGAGATTCTCAGTCATTCAGGTCATGGTTGTCCCAAAGGTGCTTTTTCAGGAGGCAACTGGACTTCCTTGTTTTTCTTTGAAGATGTTTCGCTTCTTCAGCTCTTTTTATTATTATTATTATTATTATATTTGGATTTATATCCCGCCCTTCTCCTCGCGGACTCAGGGCGGCTGACAATCAATTAAAATACATAAATAACAATTACAAATTTAAAATTAATTAAAAGAAATATTTGAACATTGTCCAATTAAAATATAATTAAAACCCCTCTAAAAATTACCCTAGGCCAGTCCTGCAAGCTG